CGTCCTGAGATTTTAAAGATAAGGACAACTCCAAGACCTACTGTTGGTACATCACTAAAAACTTACCTTTTTGCTGTGACTCATTTGACTAGAATTTAAAACTTTTGAAATTTGCATTTGATGGTACATAGGAATGGGATATGAGGCAACGTGTAGTGTCTGTCTTTGCTTATTTATTATAAATTCGCATGACACATGCTAATGCCAAGGGGATATATAGCTATCATGTGAATAAATTCTGTGTTCATAAGCTTTTGTTAAGTATAACAACACATTAAATAGTAATTCAAAATGGTAAATCCAAAGAACATAGAATATATAGAAGCATCTCCCCATGCCAAAACATAGGTAGGCATAAAAAAATTAAGTTCCTGGTGCTACTTAGCATGCACTTCATGATTCATAATTGGTGGAATACATGGAAAAAAACAAGTAAAAGATTCATCATGTATCAGAAATGGAAGAAGCTTAATGGCATATGCAATGTGTTTTTGGAAAGAAAAAAAGGCAGATTCTGATATTTAGTGATTGAAATCTTTCATATCATGAGATTGGTATGTTTTGAATCTCCTTTTCTCTATTTAGCCAATTTGATTAATGGGTATGTAACTTGTAAGTTGGTGACTATAGTTGATTGACAGCCCTCATTAAATGGATTATATAAATTGGACCTGATTGAGGTGAAGTATGGTTTAGTTTGTAACGCATTATATATTTGGTCCTAATAGCATGGTCTATGAGGTATGTGATGATGAAAAGGTGTTGAGCGGGACAAGTACCTCATGGCTCATTGCTAGTGTAATTTCACAAATTTCTGCCAGCATGCCACTAGGCTGGATGTGCATCATCTAAAAGGATTTCACTATGCGAGCATTGTTCTAGTGTTTATTCCTTGAGTGAAAAACATGTTTCTTGATTGTTGGCGGGAGGAGGAGGGAGGAGGAGGGGGGACTCTATCTGGTATTTTGGTAAGATAAATGGAGGTTGAATGGCTTTTGATGGGACTGAAGTAATTCTGAATTGCTCGGTTGAATTATTGTTCTGAATAAACAAATAAAATGTACCAATAGATATATGGGATTTGATTTCATTCCAAAAATTTTATCTATGAAACTTGCTCTAGAATAAGTTAACACGTACAAAGTATTATCTGGAACTCTTTAAGATAATCTTTCCATTGTTTTCACTCCTGTTCGAAGTCATCGTTGGCAATAAACTGATTTAATATTCTTTTTCCAGCTGGTCCCAAGGATACCCCAATGGATCTTGTGTTGAAGAAGACATACGATGCTAAAACCGGGAAGGGAATGCCTGACCTGTGAGCAAATCTTGTGCATTTTTGTGGCATACATTAAGCATGTTGATGAGAAGTGTCGTGCAATGTGAAAAATAATGATTTTGTAAGGAATTCAGCTCCCAGTTTTACCATTTGATTAGCACATTCTAAAAGTGGGATGTTTGAATTAATTTGTAATCGCTCAAATGTAGCTGATCTCCCCATGTGTGGGTGTTTCTTGCCTGCGTTCATGATCCGTGGCCAAAACAGAGATTAATTTGAGCACTCGTAGATGAAATGTAAAGGTAGTGGGCTAAAGAAGTCACTGATGCCGTTCAGGGGCTTTCATTTAATGCCAATTTTAGAAGAGTTCTTAACTTGACAAGGTTATTTTGTTTATATCGGTACTGAAATCCAGCAGTAAGACCCACCGTTGTTCCAAAACCAATTGACCCAACTTTCGTATCTCCAATCTATTGGAGACGATGGAAGATGACGCAGGGCCTTGAATGGATGAATATCCCCTTCCGTGGCTGTGTTCTATGAAAAGTTGACAGATGCTTCAAGCTTTTTCTAGTCATTCTAAGGGTTCTGTTCTTTTTGGACGCTTTACATTTGGGCATTGGTTTGTCCTTTTTGGACTTCTCAAGTTGATCAAAGCTTAGGATTGACTCGCTATCATTAAAAAGAGCTAATCGGAATGGGAAATCACTGTAGTTCGTTCCAAATTATTCCCACGGCTTTTTGGAATAGTGAAATGTTTTTTTTGCTCTTTCATCTATAACAATTAACATTGATTTTGCATTGAAATCTTTCCATTTAGTTTATTTATCACAGGAATAAATAAATATTTGTCTATCTTGATTGTATGATTAAATGATCAGATGGTTAAATGATCACATGTGATTATTTTTGTGATTATTTTTTGTTCGGTTTGGTTTTTATAAAAAAAATAATCAAATTGAATTTTTTTTAAAAAGATCAAAATTAGATTGAAATCAGTTCAAACCTTCAGTTTAATTTTCTTTTTAAAATAAAAACCTATTCAAAATGATTTGACTCGGTTTTTTTTTT